CCACTCCCCGCTATTGGGCAAACCAAACAGCCTCGAAGTCCAGTTCACCTATTCTTGCACCGACTGGACTGGACCGTTTTACAAATGGTGCTTCGACTTCCAGGCCCCAGACCATCCATGGGACTGGAACACTAAGTAATGCCAGGAGTGCCCCGCTCGTAGCATCCTTGCTCCGTTCGTAGTGATGCCCATTGCTACGTTCGTAGCTTCTTGTTACCAGTAGTAATGGCCTCCAACCTACTAGCGATGGGCTTCAACCTTTTAATAGCTTCAAGCTACTAGTAGCTTCTACCCTCCAAGGAAAGAAACATGCAAGTCGTAAACTACCACATGTGTGTATTCCGGAAACTAGTCTGACCAGAGTCCATGTTTCACTTCCATGATAGTGAGTGGGAGTGTCCTTCGTCAGATTCCGCACTGGCCAAGTTGCACTCCGCCAGGGATGCCACTGTAGTCCTCTTCGCCAACAAGCAGCTGGTCCTCAGTAAGTCCATGGCTTTTGATGTTGATACCAAGATCAGCGACTCACACAGTGATTCCCGATCAAAGGCAAGTGACTGAATTTGAAAGACCCAACAAGGCAGCTTGAAAACCATCGATGTAGACTCTTGATGACTGATAAAGCCTCCCATAGTACCTCCCAGATCTTCAGAGGTTGAAAAGGGGAGGTGTTGGAAGCTGCTCAGTTTGGTCAGACGCTCAGTCCTCCTCCAGCTGAGGCTTTTCACCGAGGAGAGGGTGGACGGTTGTTTCAAAGCTGTGAAGAATCTTCGACTTCGCCGATGGGGCCGTTTGACCGTGTCACCGTTGGAAAAAAGCAAAGAGAAAGCAGTCAATTGAACTGAACATGTGCAAGTTTTAGACAGTTTGACTGAACATGTACAATTTTTTGGACAGTCATGCTTCATTAGCCCCTTGCACACTCGGATACACGTATGGCGGGGGGAAGCTACACGTGTCCGACAGTTCCACATGAAGTAACGCCTTGCTCTTGGTGCTTCCGGTATGTTTCCAGGCTGTATAGTAAAATGATTCTCATGGGTCAGTGCCAAGGTCATTTAATATTAATGGTTGGATGCGTAAGAACCAGGTTCTTGACCGCTTCCTTCCAGTACTGAACGACCCTGATTGTGTTGTGAATAGGAACTGGCACATGGTGACATGTTAGGACCACTCCTTTGCCACTCCATGTGGGAACCCAAATCGAACACCTCCAAAGCCCAGGCGATTCCCTGCTCCGAAGACACCGCTTATCAGCTCTCATTCGTAAGGTCCAGAGTTGCATCAACCCCCAGACAATCGAGGTTGGAGGCCAGCTGCTATTAGGAACCTTGGTCGAAGGAGACTGGAGACTGTTGCAATGGGATCCAACTGGATGGGAAATCCCTTGGAAATCCAGCTGCAACATACAGCGACCACACCCCGACCTTCCACATTCCATACATCATCGGATCTCTTCCAATGTTCATGCGTCGTGCAACATGTTCATGCGTTGTATTGCCTCAATGCATTGCTAGCAGACAACTTTAAGGATCTTTAAGCTATCCTAAGAAATCCTTGGGCCCTCCATGGCAGGGGTCCAAGCCCTCAAAACCCTGGCCCGGATTCTTTAGGGTTCTACCCTGCCCAAACCAATGGAAAGGGTTTCGGTGTCGGGTCCGGATCCCGCCTCGCGAAGTCGGTGAATCCGACGTCGTTCGGCCCTCGTTTGGGACCCCTCGCGAAGCGAGAAGGGCGGGCGAATCGTAAAGACCACCGTGATGCCGTGGGGCTCCCAGTGGCGGCCGGGCGGCGGCCGGGCGGCCGGCGGCACACCCCGGATGCCGTTGACGCAGTTACTGAACGCCTTGGACTTGGCGCCACCCAATGAGCGGCTCTTGGAACGTTTCGGGCATCTTCTTCGACCGGTCCAAGTTCTCCAAGTGGTCGTACCTGGCGTGCAAGGTTATGGTATGCAGATCCAGCCAGTGCAAGCCCCTGTGCAGGCGAATGCCACAGATCGACGAGCAAGAGGCGACAAGGGAGATCCGTAGCTTTGCCAAGAAGACCTGAGAGGCGGTTTGGAACGGCAACCATTCAATTGTGTTTAATGGTGATGCTGCGGTGCCAAGTCTTTTCCAGCACATCCGGGCTGTTGAGAAACCAGCCCGAAGAGCCGCAAGCAAAGCCAAAAGAACTGCCATAGAGCAACCAGTCAATCTAACATTGAAATACATAGAATGTTACCAAAGGTCCTCACAAGGCACGCCCAATTGTTGCTGCTGAAGTGCAGCTTGTCCAGAGATCTATTTTGACAGAGCTTTTCAGATTGCAGTATTTTTGACTGTGACTAGAGACCATCGACCTTGATCATACGTGATGGCAGTGCTGGTAAGGAGACGTGTCTTTGTTGGGCATTCTTGAGCGGGCTGTTCAGCACTCTTTACCAGAGTGTATTTTAACATGTTATCTTCACAGACATGTTGATTTCGTTGTCCATACCGACATACCCGTTCATCGCCGTGAGAATCGGCTGTTCTTCCGCCCACAGAGGTGACTCTCTCTTTTTGCGCTAGTTCACAAGTCGGACTCGGACTCCGGCGGGTTGTTGGATCTGGCGCACGAAACAAGTAGGTTGGAGGCCATTGGAGGCCAGCTGTTGAAAGGACCCTCTTACCCTCTTAAAGGACGGTTCATCCATCTTTTGCCCTATACCAGGTTTGGTACGATCACCTGCAAGTCACGGTTCCCCGCGAAATATGAGAGATTCACCCTTCGAATTTAACATCCCACTGGAAGTGGCCAGATCAACAGTCCCATGCCGAAGCCAGCGACCCTGGAGCGATTTGAAAAGACATCGGTGCGACCCAGACCGTGGTGAGGGCGGAAGTTGGAGTGTTTCTTCGGACATAGTAGCTTCTTGCTCCTAGTAGTAAGGCCAGGGGCCCCGAACGTAGCGTCCGATCGATTCCGAATAGCAATGACCTCCATCCTCCGCCTCCTCCAGACCCTTCGCAGGACTTCGCCCTCCGCGCCTTGCGCCGACGTGGCCAGCTCCCGCGCGCGCTGCTGCTGCTGAAGCCGCTGGAGCTGGAGCCAGCGGAGCTGCCGCTGCGGAAGACGGCAGCACTGCGCACGAGCTGGAGAGAGGGGAAGTTGTTACGGGGCGAAAAGCATGGAGTTTGGGTGAAACTGAACTTGGGTGAATTGAGAACTTGAAGCATCCAAAGTCTACAGGTCACAAATTCACCTCTCATGTTCCAAGAACGAGGTCTACCTGTTGGAGGGTGCGGTCAGTCCGGTATGTCCGTTCAGTTGGGGGAAGGTCTCAACTAAACGAGATCCTCATGTGCGGTGCACGCACCTTTGGGTCCTCTTCATACCCTCAAACTTGAACCCAGTGTGCGGGGAAAAACCGAAAGAGGTGCTTCGATCGGGATGTGTCCGGCCGGTTCCTCATGGGGTCCCGAAGGCCGAAGGTCTTGCGACCACGCCATCGGCCAGTCGATGCCCGACATGCTCCGTTCGAGTCGCGATGCCCGACATGCTCCGTTCGTAGCCTTGTTCCAGGCAGCCGCTAGTAGCATCCTCCCTGCTTCCGGACTTCGCAGCGTCCAATCGCTGCGCTGCCCAGGAGCCCCAAACAGCCTGTGCCCTGGCGCCGGGGGGCATCAAGGGGGGTGCACGTTCGAACATTTCGTCAGAAGCTGAGGGGATTCCGGTTGGTGGACCAAGCAAGTTCCGCTTGGTCCAAGCGTCTCGTCTCGGCGCTAGCTGACCCGTTGAGCGACTGATCCGAACGGAGGGCGATGTCCGAAGGTTTAGTTTGTTTGCAGAGGTAGCTTCCGACGAAACCAACAAAATGAGTGAATCCCTAAGCGAAGCGAACAACCATTAATTTAATAGGCTTCACCCAATCAACTAAGGATTTTACACTGCAAAAACCAGGTCTGTCCCATTGTTTTAATGGTCGAACGGAAATCTAGGGGAATGGTGCCTTTCAGCTGGTAGTCCAGATCTGGATGTTGCCGATGCATTTGCCTTGGATGTGTGACCCCTCCTGCAGCCCTGTCTGGGAAAAAGGGGTAGTGCCTCCAGCCCTTTCTCCGAAAGAGAAAGATGGTGCCTGTGTCAAGGGAATCTATCTAGCCCCCCAATCTGTCAATTAAAGATGGCCCTAGTCAATGCTAGTCCCTACTTAGGCCCTCGTTGTTTGTACAAGTACATTGCGTCGAACGATCACTATTGAAGTCTCCAGTCTTCGGACACCATCGACATCTGTTCGGTTTGCATCACGTAAGAAGCAGAGAAGAGCCCCTAGTAGCGTCCTTGCTCCTAGCGATGCGCTTTGTTATAGTTTCCGATTCAGTTGGAGGTCATTCCTATAAGAAATCAACGGACGGACTTGGGAGCAACGTCCATGACTGGGTCGGCCCCCTTTCCCTCGGAGTCGAGACGGCCCCCTTTTGTCCGTCTGAAAAACCGTCCCAGTAAATCGGTTGCAGTCGATAAAACATGATGACTATTTTAGGTGGAAAGGAACCTGACAGCTCATGTTTATGACATGCAAGAAATAAGAACCTAATAGGAATGGCCTCCTAAAAACGCGATGGCCTCCCACCTACGACCGAGGTGTCCATACCACAGTGACTGGTGTTGATTTTGGGGAGAGACGATCCTCAGTCCGCCTTCATGAGATCCACACCCCATGAAACGCTCAGCGCACCCAGGTGTGGCTGTACATGGAATAGTTCGCTCAGAACGGAAAAAGGCTGCAGTTCGACAGCGCGGTGAGGCCGTGGACTGGCCCCCAACCGTTCCAGGTTGGTCCAAGAAGTCGGCAAGTCGGAGCTACCAACTTCTTCGTTTCTCCGCTTTGGAGTTGGTGAGTTTGGGTGATTGTTTGGTGTGTGTGTGTTGTCTTGTGGCCCCACTTCGATCATCTTCAATTTGGATGGCGAACAGGAAGAAGTGTTCGGCAAAAGCCCTTTGTGGTGACCACCCTCCCCCTTCGGGCCTAGGCCGCTGGCGACCTACTCCAGATGATGCGCGTGGGGCAGCGGAGGGTGACGTGGCGAGACACGAAGACGGTGCGCCGGTGCGCCGGTGCGCCGGTGGCGTGGGCGTTGTCTCTTGGGCCGTGTGCCTTTCAAGAAAGAAAGAAAGAGCCAAGTTCATCAGCAATGTTGCACGGTTGGAAGATCCAGGTATGAAGTCTATGACTGAGGATAGACATGCTTGACATGCATGCCTCAGCCTGGTAATTAGCCTGGTTCATGCCTTCGTATCATCAATCTCGCAGTTCAGGGCAGCCTATGAGGCTTCTGAGCGGCCAAAGCATGGGTGTTTAGTGGGGATCAGGACTGGTCATTATGACATCAAGTAGTGTCTATACTCTATATATATATATATACGTATACCGAACTGTCAAGGACAATGAATGTGGGCAAGCCTGATGTTGGGTTCCTGTTATTTTTGTGCTACTGACCACACTAGACAGAAGCGACCGAACATCGTCATTCACATGACGAGTTGTAATTTACCCAAGAGTGCCAAGATCCACTGAAAAAATGCCACCAGTTAAGTCAGTCCAGTCGGCCATGGATGTCCCGTCCACCGGGACCATGGGTGGTCGGTCGGTTTGGCTCGCGACCCCGGAGCCTTCGCACGGACTCGGACCTTCTCGCGCGACCCAGGTGAAAGAGCCGAGGACTCATACCTGGCAGGACCGGTGACCCAGCCGGTGTGACGGAAGTTTGGGGTGACATGCTGACGACGAACTCAGCTAGTCTTATGTTCAAATCAGAAAGGCTGCGTACCAGAACACTTGGAATCTGTAATTCAACATTAAAAGTGTTGCACTTGATTTTGGCCGGTTTACCCCCTCCAACAAACATGGTCATCTACAACCCCTTAATTGTAGAGGAAAATTGTCTTTCCGGGTGTGATTGTCCACTTCCATCGTTTTTTAAGGGAGGGTACCTGATTTCTTGCAGGTGCTGACTTGGTGCGGGGCTCACACCTGTTGGCTTTGCCGGCCATTTGGCTGCTCATTCATTTGGCCTGGTTTGCAACAGGCACTTTGTTGAAAACGGGGACCCCCCAAAGCCGTTCGGACATGGGCGGGCGTTACAAAAGAATTCAACATGAAGCTACAGAACCTGCCTGCTGGGTCATCGTTTGCCAAGTCTGACGTTGGATGCCTTCCAAAACTCCGATTGTGCCATGGCCAGTCCATGGTCCATCAATGGGTCGGAACAAATTCCCTCCAAAAAACCTGCGTAACCTTTTGGGGGAAGGATTGGTTTCCCCACGAAACAATGAACAAAATGGACAGTTCGGGTGAACCTTTAACCTTGAATTTGCCCAAAGGATCGGAAGAAAGGCGTTCCAGCTGCATTGAGCAAAGGCGTTCCAGCTGCATCAATGCTGTCCCAAGAGAGGTTAGACGTGACCTGAACTAGGACCCGTCACCTGGGGTACCGAACTGGGATAGTCTAGTTCGGGTCCTTCAACCTCTGTTGGTCCATGGTTTTGGGGGGCCATGCTCCACCCAGCTCAGCTCGAAAACGACTGTGATTTCCGCGCCCAACCAAACCCGCCACACGTGTCGCCGCACCACCACCTCGCTCTCGCCGCGGGTGCCGCAGGATCTGAGCATCGACGTGCCGCACCCGGATGAGCATTCCAGCGCGGATCCTCAGCGGTCGACGGGGTCGGAAGGAAAAGCCAGCCGCCCCAAGAGACACCGTTTGGGGCGCTTTGGACGGTGGCGGGGGAGAGGCACACTGAGGTGCATCTCGGGGGGGAGCACAGTGGAGCATCTCACTGTGCTGTTCGCCTTCGAACGAAGTCTGACTTCGTCGCGGGTGCGTTCGTTCCCCCGCCGCACGGTGCATTTGTGACAAACCAGGGTTCGATGCGACGTCGATCGTGCCAGATCAGAATCGTGCCATGCGACGATGAGGTGGTCGGTTGAGGTCGCCGGTTCACGCGACACCGCAAGACTCCCAGGTGCGATGAGCGCCAAGCAGGTGCGGCCGACACCGCTCGTCTTCGGTTGGTCTTCGGTGAGATCTTCGGTGGGTCTTCGGTTGCTTCACTCAACTGGTTAGATCAAACATGATCAAGTAGAATGCATCTAAAAACAAAATGCCGACCCTAAGGCCCTAAGGATCCGGACCCTCAAGAAGATCTGGTTTTCACGGGGCCTGGGAACAGAGGGTCGAGACCCCGTCGGGGTGTCAGGTCCGAACTGGGTCACTTGTTGAAGCCGAAATGACAGGCATAGACCCCCGAAGAGCCACCAAAAATGAAATACAGGCACCCAGTCACGCACCCAGTCATTGAGAAGTAAGAACACCTTTTGGGTGTTTTTGGGGGTCTTTCCGATACACATGGACTTCGCTTCCTGCGACGCTCAGGGCTTTGAAGAGACTCTGAGAACTCACACCAACTTTCATACGCGACCAGTCCAAGGACAAAGTTAAACCGGTACCTTTTTTGCCTGACCGGAGCCCAGTAACATGGGGTCCTTGACCTGTAGGGATATGATTGGGTGTGATCAAAAGAATCCCCAACGTCATTCGAAAGTCATGGAGACCCCTCGAAACTCACCAAACTCGTGTCTCGACACATCCAGGATGTCCGGAACGCTCCATAAGTAAACACACCCAGAAACCAAAGCCCGAAAAAAACCCAAGAGAAACATCACCCGCTTGCTTTGCCGTCCCCGCTGTCCACGTGACGTCTGTCGGACCGGCGCTCCGCGCTTCACGAGGAGAAGCTCTGGAGCGAAGCGACGCGGGGAGACTCAGCGCGGGCCACGAAGCTCGGTGAGCACCCGAAGCACACGAACGGGGGAGAAACGGGCTGTACTACTAGTAGCTATAGTAACAATAAAGCTACTATGTGTTTGTCTTTCTTTTTTTCCTGGCATTGCTACTAGTAGCTTTCTACTACGAGGAACAAGAACTCACTGTCTCATCTGTCTCTACTTTCTACTTGTCAAGTCTCACCAGCTGGATGCTCGTAGTGTTTGCTTCAGAAGGAGCAAAGGCTATGTCTCCTAAGTACGCTTGAAGCATCTCAGAATATCTCACCCGGCGAATAGTTTCTCACATGCTGGCTGCGTCAGGCGCAACTTTCTCGATGCCACGGTATCTCGTGATGTTGGCCTTGTGTTTGAGGGGTTCTGCATTTTTCGAAGTTTCATGCAAGCTTGTAGATTGTCCGATGAGCTCCCCGACAAAGAAGGCTGCGATTCAGTGTGCATCAGGTGGCCCGGATCCGAACTTTCAGGTTCTCGGCATTGGAAGTGCATCCTTTCTTCCCCCATCACATCACATGCTGAGGAGCAACATGAGACATGTCGTCACCCCTTGACCTCCGAGCTTCGAGCCTTCGAGAGCAGGTATTGGCGCTCCGCCTGGTGGACGAGCCATTTGCGGCCGCTCAGACTTGGACCGGCCGTGAGGGACTCCCACCGAACGGTTTGGGGGGAAGGAAATGGGGGCGCCAGGACACAGGTGTGTCCCATGAAAAGGAGAAAAGAGTGGAAGGTTCTGGTGTTTCCACAGGACGCTATTGGGTGGAGGCCGTCGCAAGTAGGTGTTTTCGGCCATCGCGAGTAGGTTGGAGGCACTATGCCATTTTAGATAGGCCATCATATACATGATGCAATGCTGTATGCTTTCTTTGTGCAATTCCAACAGCCCACCATATGCGTGCATAATGCATTTTTGCAGATATCCCAGGATAACCCCTGAGACGCAATGAACTAAACATAATGTGTTTCCCATAAAAGGCTGAAGCTCAGCCTCATAACGCTAGTAGTAACAAGAAGCTACTATAGTAACAAAAAGTAGATTTTCCCGTGGACGGGGCGGGTGCCGAGTTGCTGCTTCAGCTCGGCTGAGCTGAGCTGTACCCGACCAATTCCTCACCATGATTGTAATGGTCGGAATGTCAAAGAACCATTGTTGTACCAAGGGTTTTACACTCGAAAACCGGGTGGTGCCCAAAATTAGGTGCACCATTCTTTCTAGAAAACGATGTTTGAAGGCGAACTTTGGCCCTGTCAAAGACGATCCGAAGGCCGAGTCGGGTTGGTTTTCGCTCCACTTCAAGCCTGGGAAGCTTAAGGCAGTCTTTGGGTGTGTGAAAGTGGACCAGGCGTGAAAGAACCAGTTGGGATTCTAACCTGGAGGAGTTATTTTCAGGTCTTATCGAGAGTTTTGTCTGGACGAAAACAGGTTTGTTCTCTGAAGGAAGTGGCAGTGGGTGACCATGTCAGGTGGTGAGTGCATGTTTGTTTCATTTGGATGATGGATCAATCGGTTGGTCTGGTGCCATGACGGCCATGACCGTCTTTGTTCCTCAGGCAGGCGCAAGGCCTCTTGCCCAAGGCCCGGGCGAAACACGTCAGGGGGACGACGTCCAAGCGGACACGGTGATTGTCCCGTTGGATGAGTACTTTGGCCTTCCGTGGCGACCATCAAACAAAGTTTGAGCTGGTGGTGTTGGTCCTCAAATCAAATATAAGAGCAATGGTTATTCAGCAAAACCAAGTAAAAATTATTTGCGGTTGGAATCCTCGGGACTCGATAATTGGAAGCCGACTTGGTTGATTTGGGCAGGATGTAGCAGTGTTTGCTCCTTTCTCACCTTTTCAGGAGCGACCCCCGGCCATGGACCGGCATGTGGTGATCTGGCACCAGACCGACAGGGCACCACCTACCTGGTGTCGGTCGTCCGCTGCCGGACTCGAGTTCCAGGTTGAATCACCCATCCCCACATAGTGCTGGAAGCAATGGCCTCCAACCTACTTGCAATGGCTTCCAACCTACTAGCAATGGTCTGCAACCTACTAGCGATGGCCTCCAACCTACTAGCGATGGCCTCCAACCCACTAGCGATGGCCTCCAACCTACTACCACTAGCGATGGCCTCCAACCTACTAGCCATGGCCTCCAACCTACTAGCGATGGCTTCCAACCTACTAGGGATGGCCTCCAACCTACTAGCAATGGCTTCCAACCTACTAGCGATGGCCTCCAACCTACTAGAGATGGCTCCCAACCTACTAGCAATGGCCGCCAACCTACTAGCGATGGCTCCCAACCCATTAGCGGCGTTGTGTTAGCCACTTACGATATCTCTGATGGTTTCGCGAAATTAAAGAAAGCAAACAATTGCAAATCCAAAAAGCAAAAATCAACTGAAAAAAGCAAAAGCAAAAACACAAATCCAAAAAGCAATTGTACAAGCAAAAGCAAAAAATATGCAAATCCAAAAAGCCCAAAAAGCAATTGAAAAAGCAAAAGCGATGAAAAAAACACACACTCTGACATTGGTTTTCAGTTAACTCAATTCCCAAGTGGAAGAAAGGCGAGAGAACGGCAAGGCGGAAGGTCCAAGCATTTGTAGGTGTTTTAACAAAAGAGTTTCTCACTTGACTGCGGAAGATGCATTAGCCGCTTTACTGAATACCTAGCAGACCGCGTGCTTGTGAATCAACTAGAAAAGAGAACTTACCATTTGTTTGGTGTCAGTACTCAAGGCCCTTGCTCTAGCTTTCTTTGTTTTGCTGGTGCATATGCTGTCAGCACCCCCAAAGTCTAGCTGAGTGGGACGTTTGCAGTTGACTGTGCTGACCAAACAGAAAAGATCCTTCTTTTGTCTTTCACTGCGGTACCGCCAGCCTCTGGGATTTACCACTCGAATCCACCCATAGTTAAGAGGTGGAAATTTGCAGTGAAGTGGCAACCTGATGGGTTCGCAAAGAAGCTTGCAGGCTCTGACACCCGTTTGCAAGCTCGGACACCCCTTTGGACCAAATCCTTGTTGCCTGATGAAATTCGCAACGTGATCGACGACCACTTTCAAGAGATTGGCAGGACATCGTTGGAGGTAGAACTGGATGGTGTCGCGGAGATCGACGACCGCATTGACAAAGATTGGCAGGACATCATTGGAGGTAGAACTGAATGGGGTCACAAGTGGACCAAAGACCTTTTGGACCTTCAAAAGAGGTGCAGGGGCTTCGCAGAGTGCCATCCTGATGTCAAGGACATAACCAAGGGAAACGCTTGTTGCTGTGGCGGCGCATGCCCCTGGATGTTGGACATGTCGATTCGGACCTTCCACTGCGGTTCCTCAAGGGTTTTGACATTGTAGGCGAGGTGCCACATGCGGCGCTCTCCATCGTGCTCTCGTCTCTGCTCTGTTGTCGGTGGACGGTCTCACGGCCCTTGCTCTTTTTCAGCGGGACAATCGCCGTCACGGCCCTGGAATCCAAAAGGCCAGACTGAGTGGGACTGTGCCCTTTGTAGCTTTTGGTTGAATGGATCAGGTGGCAACCAATGACAAATTTAAACTTGACACTGTGAGGCAGCCACGGATCTTGCATGATGACGATCAGTTCCACTCGATTTTTCGCTGGAAACGTCCGCAGGCAGCACGCAGCACGCGCGGAGTGGTGAAAGCCGGACACTTCCGTCGACGAAAAGCGCGCACTTCGACTATCCCGTGAGGGAGGTCCAGAGATGTTCAGAGTGTGTACGAATTGCGGCCGAAATGATACAAGACCATACAGGACCTTCCAAGTCCGGTGGTTTTTGGACACCCCTGCCTTAACCTCTAAGAGATGTATAGATATTTTTGGACACCTCAAACTAGGAACAAGAAACTACTAATGACATGGCTACCTGCGAGTGTCGGCATTTTGGTTATGAACTTGAATGAATCTTTCCCTCATGCTGAAAAAGATAACTCACATGCCATGTCTTTAGCCGCTTTGCTGAATACCTAGCAGACACGGACGGCGGATTAAACAGTTGTTTAAAATGCAGGTACGCTTGCACGGGTCCCAGGGGAGGTCTTCGTTGGCCACCGCTCCTCTGGGACCCCCCCTGCCTTGTTGTTTTTAATTAGTAGCGATGCCCTTGGGTCTGGCGGCCTCTAGTTCCTAGTAGCGAGGCCAGAAACCATTAGTAGCATCCTTTCTTCAAGTGGGAACCTGCTGCATGCATACTTACCGGGCACGAACCTTGGAAACCGGTGTTGACACACACATTATGCCGCAATCGGCGCTCTGCACCCCTTGCGGTAAACAATTTTGTTCTGCAGCTTTGTACACATAACGCCGATAGCGCCGCGCCGGAAGATTACTAGTCACCTAAAAAGCCTTAGAAAGACAGACAAAGAAAAACAGAAAGAGAAAACGAAGAGGGCAAGAGAGAAAGATAGGAGTAGTTACGAGGCCGACTAGTTACGAAGCCTGTTAGTTACAATACATGCAGAAGCTAGCGAGCGGGACTTTTGTCGTATACCGCCCGGGTAGCTAGAAGTAGGACAGGAGAAATAGAAGGAAAGGCACCAACACACAAGTGTGTTGAGTGCGATTTCCTTCTATAACCCTAGATAGCGGGTAGGATAGCAACAGAGGCCAGGGGCAGGGAGGGGTGCCCGAAGGCATTGACATCACTGACATTCAAGTAAAGCCGATTTAGGGCCGGCGCACCCTTGTCGGAAAGGCACCTGGAACCTAACGAAAGGCCTCAAGAAACGAAAAGCAACAGAAAGAGAGAAAGAACCCAAGAGCATGACATGCGCATGCAACAGGAAAAGCTACCTAGCTGCTAGCTTGGTGACCCTGCGACGTGTACCTCAAAAACCGCATGGGTGAAAAACATGGAAGTGTGGACAGTAGCGTCACTGGTCTCAAAATGGTCATGGTTGGTAACGTGGTGCTGTACACTCTTGAAATCGAAAGCGAGCTGCAGAATCATGAAAAACAAACATGAAAGTGGATCGGCGCCTCCTTGCGGAGGATCACACCCAGCACCCAAGTGGGACGACTGAGCGAGTCACACTCTGACATTGGCTTTCAGTTAACTTTTTTCCCAAGTGGAAGAAAGGCGAGAGAACGGCAAGGCGAAAGGTCCAAGCATTTGTAGGTGTTTTAACAAGAGTTTCTCACTTGACTGCGGAAGATGCATTAGCCGCTTTACTGAATACCTAGCAGACCGCCTATGCATTAGCCGCTTTACTGAACACCTAGCAGACCGCCTATGCATTAGCCGCTCTACTGAATACCTAGCAGACACGGACGGCGGATTAAACAGTTGTTAAAAATGCAGGTACGTTTGCACGGGTCCCAGGGGAGGTCTTCGTTGGCCACCGCTCCTTTGGGACCCCGGTGGCCCCCTGCTTCTTTGTCTTTTTCTTTTCCTTTTTTCTGCATCTCTGTCCCTGCCTTGTTGTTTTTAATAAGTAGCGATGCCCCTGGGTCTAGCGGCCTCTAGTTCCTAGTAGCGAGGCCAGAAACCATTAGTAGCATCCTTTCTTCAAGTGGGAACCTGCTGCATGCATACTTACCGGGCACGAACCTTGGAAACAGGTGTTGACACACACTCTGACAATTGTATTCAGTTACACTCAATTCCCAGGTCGAAAATGGTGAGGGAACGGCAAGGTGGAAAGTCCGCAAATGTGTAGATGTTTTAACAAAAGAGTTTGTCACGTGACTGCGGTGGCGTGCTGCAAAACCCTCGGCGGCTGCAAGTGGCTGAAGGAGCAAAGTTTGAGGGGCTGTAGCATGAAGAAGGACCATGAAAACAACGAACAGCGGCAGGGTGGACCATTGGTGTCAATGTGCTATTCTGCAGGTACAGGATCAAGCGTCCTTGATCCCTTCCCATCTGTGGTCGTAGCTTCGTTGCGTGCAGTGGACCACAGATGCTGCACGCCCCTGCATGAGGTGAATCCAAACCCTTAGGCACAGGGGTTGACACACACACACACATGCAAAAAAATAAGTGTCCCCAAAAGGCACCAAAACAAAAAAACGGAAACAAAAAAAGAACGTAAAAAGCGAAACAGCGAAATGCAAAAAACACGAAAAAAAACATGCGGAAAAAAAGGACGCCCCCTCCTCCCCCGAAAAAAAAGGAAAACATAGGACACCATGTGTTTTTTGGACTCTTTCTTCTGCTTTTGCTGTTTCAGTTGTTTTGTTTTTTGGGGGTTGCTGTTGCTTTTTTTTGCGTTTGCTGTTTCACTTGTTTTTTGTTTTATTTTTTCAAGATTCTCAGAGTTAGCCTGGGTCCGGCGAACACAATACTAGCGATGGCTCCCAACCTACTAGCGATGGCCTCCAACCGAAAAGCAACCCATCCTCAAAGACAAGCTCCCTGAATCAAGCAAGGCGGGGCATAGGCTCCTGGTTCCTCCTGACGACTCCTGTCTCGATCGATGTGTCTTTTTCGATGTTTGAGTTTAATCTTTCCAATGACTTCTGAGGGATTTTGAAGAGGCTGTTTCCAAAAAGGGTCAGGCATGAGAAGTGCAAAATCACCATCCATCACACACAACTCATCGCTCCAGACGTTCGATCCTCTTTTCCCGCGGCCGTCTTCACGCACGCTGAAAATCCTCGCCTCGTCCCAAAGAATTCCGGTTCAGACATTTCGATCCGCCTTGGTCCTGGGTTTTTGGTCGCCGACTCCACCCGATGGACCGAACCACACTCGTCGCTCCTCCGTTCCACCAGGTGGGTGCCTAGGCGCCCCGGGCCACCGGAGCGGAGCGGACCCGGACCACCGCCACGGGGGACGAGGGCACGGGGAGTCGACGACGCTGGCCTTGTGTTTGAATCAGCTGAGCGAGAACAGAGGATCCGGATCCGTCCGAGAACGGCACCGGCATCGAGAACGGTCATTCTTCACTCGCATGGAGCACCAGTGGTTTCACTGGGCCACTGGGGAAGAGTTCTTCGGGGAAAAAAAGGATCAGTTTCTCATCATTCTTCCTGGGCCCTCGTTGTGAGTATTTGCACAGATCCTTTGATCATGTTGGAATTGGCCCAGGGAATTAGCGCGACCCACAGGACCCCCCGTCGTATCGGCATCATCGGTTTGCCATGAGAGAGTTCTGCGTATCCAAAACCAGGTATCACAGTACGTCAAACCTCTCCCCAGATGATTGTATCATGAGTGTGCTTGTGCCAATGAACGAGGCGGATGGAAAGAAAGCATTGGTTGCCTTTGCCAAGCCTTGGGAGCTTTCTACCGACCAATCATGGCTAATGGGCAAGAAATTGCTTTTGATTCCTACATCCACTGAATCCATTGGACCCTCCAGAAAAAAGGGGTGAAGAGGGTGTGCTCCACACATTAGGAAGTGCCATTGGAACCTCGCGGCATGGCAATACTTGACAGATGTTGAAAAGGGAATAAAGGGGTTCTCCTACTTGGAGTTTGCTGATTCTCAGTAAGCGAAGGACAGGTTCTGCACCAATGGACCATGTTGAAGCAGGTTTGAAGAGTTGGGTTTGCGGTGAAGGAAACCATATCAACAAACAAAGTAGCATTGAATGTTCCAAAGTATTCATGATATATCATCATACTATCATATGAATCATATGTGATATGCTGTGTCATGGCATGATAAACCCTGACATCATTTGGCATCGCTTATGTAGCACCAGCTTATGTATGTGTATGTATATATATTTCTTTCTTTCTTTCAAATGGACGCTTCGATTGGACGGACCGGCAGGATTGAATTCGGTTGTAGGCCTCTAAGAGCGCCAAGATCAGTTCTGAGATTCACAAGGATCGTCACCCCAAACACGGTCAATTAAACAATGGGCAATCGCCTCATACTTGCATCTCTTGAAAAGAGAGTGAGGGATGTCACGTTGAGTCAAGTCATTGAGCGACATGGCAAGGTGCACCGTGAGCAAGCAATGGAGCCCACATGTATCATGGTACAAGTCAACGTGGCCAACTTGAGGCATCGACAACAGCATTTGTGTGTGGTGCAAGAATCTCAGAGAAGGTCGATGCTCAAACAAACATGGCACATGATACCGCCACGCACAGGCACCAAGCAACAACATGCATTGTACCATGGCATTGGCCTTTGCAACTAGGTGATGTTGGCTCGCTACAAGGTTATCACGGCCCCAAGGGAGCTGCAAGGTGCGATTGGCACAACACACCTCGCCATAAAAATCAACAGGCCCAATCATCCAACAAGGATCAAGCAAAGTACCAACAACGGCAACAATCCACCCTTCATGCAAAAGCCGCATGCAAAAGGTCTGGATGTCATGGTCAGCCAAGTCCACATCAAGTGCAAATATGTACAAGTCAGCCTGCTTGTCAGCCGCTGCTCGTTGCAGGGAATTTGCAAGCTCAGTGGTGGCGCCGGCCACGGCATAAGGCATCAGAACAGTGTGGCCTTTTTTTAGGGGAGAAGGTTGAAGATTGGCGAACGAATCCAAACGCGCACAGTCAAGCAGCAACCATTTCGAGTTAGCCAATCTTCTCGCCCGAATACCAAGCTCAGGCCTGACGAGTTCGGCAAGCTCCCCAGGGTGAAAGATCCAAGCAACAACAACAGACGCACGCGTCAAAGCGTGCTCAACCTCAACATCATTAGCATGATCGGCAGCAGCCGTTATGACATGGGCCAAGCCAAGCGCAAGTTGTGGTGCATGCTTCACAAAAGGCCAGCAAATGTTAAGAAGTTCATGCACACAAAAACCGAGATCGGTGCAACTTTGAGCATCAACGTGCATTATCCAATTCAGCAATGAACTTGCAAGGGCAAGGTCACTAGGCAACGCTGCTTCATCCTGTGGAGGGTCTGGAGAGGGCTTCAATGTCGCCCACCAAGGCAAAGGCCCAAAGCTTTGGACAAGGGGTTTGAACGCGGTGCGCGACGGCTGGCGTTCCAACTCAGGAAACTCAAGATCAGACTGTTCCAGGATTGCAAGGCATTCCTTCTTCTGCTTCAGGTGGCGCTGAAGACGGGTGGAATCCTGACAATTCAGCAAGCAAGCTTGACACACGCTACCTCGCGCATAGCGATACTCTCTCGCGTTAGTACCATGATGCCGATAATTATGAACAGCGATCCCTTTCGCTGTTTGCATGCACTTACCACAAGTGGCACAGGAAAAGGTTGCCTCTTCATCCGGGAGATTGGCCGAGCAATCGCCAACATACACCCCGACGTCCGACATGAGGTCGCAAAACCGCACGCTAAACTCTTTCCCTACGCACTCACGCGTTTGGTGCAACTTAGCGACTGTCTGCACACGCTTAAGCAAATTTTCCCACCATCCAGAGTCATGGAGAATGCGTGTATCCAGCAACGCAGTAGGCACACCATGCTCAAGACCAATGGGCTCCATGTAATCAATCCATTGCAACGACTCATGCAAGTGCTTTAGCCAAGATTGCTCTTTCCGTAGAAGGGCCCACAAGGACCTGGGACCACATCGCAAGAGGCGGCCGTAATATCTGGCTCTTTCCACATAAAGGATGTGATCCGGACGGAGAAAAAGCAGCTTGTTGCACACCTCGTCATCCGTCGTGTTTTTCGTATGTCTCCGGAACAGGGCGCAAAAAAGGCGGCGGTAGAGGGACATAACGCATGCGCGATAACGAGCAGCCTCACTGGCCCGACTGAAAACCCAAGTGGCAGCATGATGCAAGAAAGATCGCAAAACTTGAGAACAAAACACCTGCTTTTTAGTTTTCAGAGGGAGAGCAGGATTGCGAAACACATCCTTGCAAAGCTGTCTGAAAGATTCATGGGCTATGGCGTTTCTCTTTCGCAGCTCAGGGGTCATGTCGCCATCCCACTTCAACAGTGTGCCAAGGTGCACATATCTATCGGTCACTCGCAATGTTTGGTCTGGCTCACCGGACACAAGGATTTCACAGCCTTGGTCGATAAGGACCTTGCGGCGGACAGCCCTAGAATTGCGGCCATACAAGCAAAACATGCACTCACTTTTACCCTGCTTCATGTTCATTTGAATGCCAATGTTTTGGAGTCTGCGGCGGCAACGATCAGCCACGACCGGCACAAGTTCAGCAAGCTGTTCAGGGCATGGATGGGTGATCAACAAAGCAATGTCATCAACCCAAGTCGGAATAGGCATTTCACACTCTGCGTCGCCATCATTCAACAAACAAGCGGCGGCACCAAGGTTACGCAAATCCTGATGCAAGCGATCCAGAAAAAACGAAAAACCCACTTGGAAACACAAGTCCGCAAGAGGGCCACCAGGAGAAGCCCCCGAGGTGGTATGGATCACTTTAGGGCTTCCACGAACTCGAAACCAAGTAGTGCTCATGGCATCACGCAATCTCTGAACAACATGAGGGGGCAAACCAGTAACCTCCTTGCGACGCAGGGCGCAGATCAGTTCCAACATGTCTTCCTGCCGCTGAGGGTCATCTGTCATGGCCTGAACAAAAGTGCAGGCTGCAGACGTCGACTCGCCCAAAATGACTTGCCGAAACACCGCATAAAACGCATCTTGTCCGTCAACAAATAAGATAGCAGCAGGGAACTTTGCGCGCTTGGCGTATCTAATGAAGGAAGCAACCAAATGGTGGGGCATTTCTGTGGAAATCCCGGGCCGAGCGCCACATTGCATGTCTTGAGCGCGCCAATGCTCACGAATCTCAGCTCGGAGCAATTTCTGGTAAATCTTAGCGGCAGTATCATAAAGCATGATATTTCGCCAAGACTTGGGGTGGGTCAAATCAGCTCCATGCTTAGGTGTAGGCACCACTTCACCGCCCAGCCACTGCAGTGGGGGCTCGTGTCGAAGCCATGTCTTCAAAAGAACCGGCATCAGAACAGCTGTCGCAGCGCGTGGAGCAACTTTATACAACTCACCGGGGATGCCATCCATGCCGACAGCCTTGTGAGACTGCAGCTCTCTACAAGCTGACTCAACACGATACCATGTGGGAACACTATGCAAATCCGAACAGCCTTGCAACAAGCCAACATCAGAAGCGTGAGCATGAGCAAGGGTCAACGCTTCTCCAGTCACTTCCAAACCACGTTCAACACACGCGTAGTGCCCAGCAAGAACATCAACAGCTTCAGCACGGCACCTGACGGATGTACCATCTGGCCGCTTAAGTGCTTGCATGGCATTAGGCCTGCGCGCTTTGCGACTTCCCGTCATTTGCCGCAAACAAGCATGGAAAGCCCGAGGACCAAGTGTAAACTGGTTAGCAACAAGTTGCAACACAAAGTCAGCCTTGTCTGCCACAAGTGCCTTTTTGAGGTCTTTGGTCGTACTGTGAATTCTGTAAGAGGCGACAGCAATAGCCTTATTCATGCGCTTGATGAAGGACGGCAAGCTTTCACGACGCACGACATGTTGACCATGGGTCCACTCACGCCAACGCACAAAAACAGAAGCCAATCGAGTAACGTGTACAGCTTTGTGGAAACAATGAATGTCTCGGCGGGCAGCGCGACGTTTTTGGATAAGCTGCCAAGTTTCATGGCCAATGCATGACTTCCTTGGTCGACGCTGTGGCCGCGGGAATTCCTCTTTCAATCGCTGCAAAATGAAGCCTGACACCCGTGACCAATGATCGGTGCTATCAGTAGCCCAGGGGATGGCAGGCACAGGATCAAGTATTTGCTCACACTTTACGCGCCCTTCCTTTGTCAACATCTGGCCAACATCCAAACCGGGATCCAACTTCCGACAAGAGCTCACAGTACACTCATGCT